CCAATAGTTCTTTTCTTGGGTACCACTTTGGGTATTTTCTTGCTCAAGAAAATTGTTTCTTTGGTGTTCTTCCCATATGAGTAGTTCTTTACAGAAAAAAAAAAGGTCCAGGAAAATATCCAAGAAGAGAGAAGAAATCTCACGGTCTAGTGGAGGGCCCGGCTTCCATACATGTGTTCTGAGCTGACCTGAGGTGATGGGCTCCCCTCGCAGGCTAGGGCTTGCCCTCTGCTGCTGTGTCATTCAGGACCCCACTTCCCTGACATCACTGAGGCCTGACTACTGTGCAACACCAAGACAGTGACCAGCAGGAAAACCGGCCAGGCACTCGGGGGCATTTTGAAGACATTTTTTCTCACAGAGCAGTCAGCCATAAAGGATGGTTTCACTGTCAGTTTCTCAGCTACTGGGTGGCTTAATTCATAGAAATCAGTGGCGACAAGTCTAGGGAAAACACCATACATGGGGTAACGTAACCATGAAGCCTTGTTTGTTTCCTTCTAACAGTGACTGCATTTACTATGTTCTTTCTGGTGGCATTTGGCAGTTCTTAGCTAGGAATCAGTAGAGCTGGCAACTCAGAACTTCTAAGAATTATTATCTGTTTACCACAGTCTCCATATTCAGAGAATTTAGTAGCATCTTTTTTAAATGGACATTTTCTTTTTTATGACTTTGCTGTATCCTGGAAAACCCCACAACTTTCAAAGCACAGACAACAGCTCTGACCAGGATCATGAAGCAACATACATTTCTGGAGAGTTAACAACTGTGAATTCAGTTTGCCATGAAGTTAAATATCAGTCTATCTCATCCACCCATCCACCTGCCCACCCATCCATCCTGTCTCACCCTATGCCATCCTTCAATCTGCTAGTTGTCTACTGACCAAATTCAGAACAATGTTTTTTATAATTAAAATATAAATTGATATGAAGGAAAGATGGATTACTCATGGATGAAGAGTTAAAGGGTGAAGATTTAAAAAATCTAGTTCTCACTCATTTTGTAGAATGCTACTTGGGTCAGTGTGGGCACATATTAAGCCCAGATAATGGTGACAGATGGTATTTAAATTCTTTAGCTCTTTGTCAATCATCTGCTCTGAGATTCTTTTTACTGAGTGCATATTTCTCAGGTATTCCATATTAGAATAGAAAAATGTCACAGAGAATTCTTAATATCACAGTGAACTGGCCAACATTTCCAATACAGGAGAGACTAGAATCAAAGCCACTAAATATGTGGTCTGTTTCTTGATCTCCCTAAAATATCATTGCTGTTACACTGTAATAACACATAAGCAACTCCAGAAAAAAATACGGCTCAGTAGGTAAAACAATAGCAAAGGCAGAGAGACACGGTGGAGTGGAAAGCTCCATGATTAACAGACTCAGGCAGACCTGGGCTCTAATTTGGCTCTGCCACTTAAGAGCTGTGTGTCCATGGACAAATTATTTACACTCGTGTGGAGGGCTCGAGACAGTCATCTGTAAGCTGAAAAACAGCTCTCAGAATGTGGGTTTAATGAGATAATGCCTACAAAGAACCTGGACTGGGGTCTGTCACATGACAGGCAATGTGAACTCCCTGTTTGTTTTTTTCTCCCTAAGTTTTGGAGGACAGTAAGCCTTGCTGATGCATGAGTGACTATTCCTCAATGATTTTATATAAACAGCTAGGATGTGACCTCTAAGGAAGGTTAATCCTGACCTCCAGAGAAATCACTTTCCATCTCTGGAAATACTCTTCTCATTATACATATTCACTTCTTCATAGCACACTGTAGTTAATTCAATAGTCATGCATGCAATGCCTCTCTTTCCCACCAGGATTTAAGTTATTCCTCCAGAATGGGCTTTGCATACAGTAGCAACTCAATCAGTTACTTGTAGACTGAATGAAACCCCCATTACAGGATTTCCAATATGTGACATATACCACTGGTGATATGTGAGATGACTTCATAAAGTTAAATATGGACAACGTTTCTTAATAGTTTTAATGTTATATTTTATTTGAGTGATTATTAGGCAAATAAATAACTGGCTCATTAAATCTGTGATTCTATATATTTTTGCTTAGGATGAGACAATTAGAAAGTAAACTGATTTAGGGTATTAAAACAAGTAAGTATAGTCATAAGAATATGGCAAAAAACATTAAGGTGTTAAAAGAGGTGACAAAATTTGGGAACCACTGCCATAGTAACAAGTAGGAACTCAGAGTGGACATGTGCCAGGATTCCCTGATTTAGGATTAGCCTAAGGTAATGAGGGAGTCTGCTTTCAGAATCTATGGCTTGTGAATTCTCAGCTGGACAATGTAACAGGTGGGTCAATACTGAGTCAGGAGTCAAGCTGGAACCAGGTCAGTGTAGGGCCTGGACCCAAGAATTCACATGTCATAAGTAAGAAGCATGCACATTCAAATATCTGGGCATTATCATAGGAAATACCAAATGTGAACTGAGCAGGAACAAGGGTTAGATCCCACGGCCGCATTCAAGGTCACAGCCAAACAAGCAGGAACTACCTAGGAGACAGGGCACCCGCTCCAGGAAGGGTGTGCAGTAGGCTGCGAATCATTCTCCTTTAGCCTTAAAGGCACATGGGCCTGAATTATGATACCGCTTCTTCCTCAGGCAGTTATTTCTCCATTTACTACCTCCATAAAGGCTCCAAGAGAGGGGGTACTTTCTTTTGTGTACATTTGAAGAACCAATGGGTCTGTGTTCCAACATCTCACTTCCCCAACAAACTGAAGCAAACTTTACTGCTGTTATCAAAGGAGCCTTTCTCTGAGCCTCCAGCATTGAGTCCTCCTCATCCCAGACCCAATATGGGGTGAACAGAGGGGTATTCCTGTCATCTCAGATTGGAGCACAGAAAGAATTTTCTCAATTAGAAAATAGGTTTTGATGCATTAGAACAATGTTTCAAACGTTTTCCAGGTTATAAAGGATTCTGCAAGCTAGACCAGCAACCAGATTACCAATTAATTATACCACCAAATGAGTGGGAAAATGTGTAATTATTATGAAAGGATAATCTGGGTTGCAATTGTTTCATAGGTGGAACAATTTTATACTTAAAAATATAGCTAATTCCTTACTGATCACTCTCATCCCTACAACAACAGAAGGACTCATCATTACAACTGAGGACAATTCTAGACACATAAATGTAATGATAATAAACATTTCTCTAACCAGCTGCACCAAGTACTCCACCCTGCAACATTTACAGTTAATTATTCCTGGTTCTGACCATAAGCCTTTAACCCAACATTTTTCAACACTTGTACGATAAGAAGAACTACATGAGACACTTTTAAAATAAGAATGACTGGCTCCAGCACACTGATGAACCGGAATCTCAAGGGAAACGTCTGGGAGTTATACTTTAAGACTGCCCATTGCTGGTGATCCTTTCACCCAAACCAGTGGTTCTTACCTTGGTGGGTGAACAGTATCAGCTGGGGGGGCTTGTTAAAACACAGCTGCTGAGCTCCAGCCTAGGAGCTTCTGATCCAGTGGGTCTGGGGTGGGGCCTGAGGATTTGCCTTTCTGACAAGGACCCCAGTGATGCTGATGCTGCTGGTCAAAGGACCACACTTGCAAAATTACTTACTTAGCTTGTCTGGCAAACACTGCAGCTGAATTTAGTATTACTTTTTTTTTCCCTCCTTGGTAGAAAAACATTAGGTTAGAACTCACAGGACTGCCTTTGGAGTAATAGCCCTGATGCATTTTAGCTGCCAGTGTTAGACAAATTTACCACTGCATCTCATGTACCTTTCACTGTGAGGAATAAAATGGTGACCTAAGGCAAGAGGTTTGGCCCTGTACTTGGCACACAGTAGGCCTGCAGTAAATGTCTGTATACTTTGATTTTCTTGCCATGATCCCCTCCTGTGACCTATGGATGAATCTTCTGAGTTCTAGAAATAGGTCTGAAAATTTATTACATGCACAGAATTTCATTTGGTTAAAACAAGCAAGGAAGCAATGGGCGAACACTTGCTTTCCTTGTGAACTATAATGTAGCTGCATTTAGAACATAACATGTCCAGTGGGAATATACTCAGTTTCCTAACTCACATTTTCCCATGGAAATAAAAACAGAAAACAAAGAGAGATTAGATTATGATTAGGTTCTCTGTTTAAATTGAGCAGATGGAATTTAGTACCCAGGTATGGATTATTTTCCTGGCAGAAATCATTATATTGTTTGGTTATTTCTTGTGACTTGAAAGTCAAACAAATGAATCACAGACTCCCAGAGTCAGAAGGGCCTTGAGGTCACCTAGCCCACCCAGCCACTCTGTGAATGCTGCTGACAGCACCTCCAGTGTGCGGTGGTCTCTTAGACACCAATGAGAATGCACTGTTTTCACAGACCCCTATCTTCTCTTCAGGTAACTGCCTAATTGTTAAGATTTTTTTTCTTCCTTCTGAGCAAAAATCTTTATTTCTGAAATTCCTATCTCCTCCATCCTCATTCTGCTTTCTATAGTGCCTGAATATGTCCAATCTCTCCTCCACATGACAGCATTTAAAGCATTCTGAAACAGCAAGGACATCTTCTTTGCCTATTCCCTTTTAGTCTAAGTCTTCTGTTTATTCAACTGTTCTCACCATTAGAAGTTTCATATACTTAACAGAATCACCTTAAGGATATTTCTTCACTAAAAAATATACCACAACATGCTTCATGTTCACAATGCCCTATGATCACCAGCAAAAACAAAGTAAGTAGGAACAGTGGAGAGTTCCTTTCTAAACAGAGTTTTCAAGAACTGGAAGCTATAATTAGACAGAACTACATTATAAGGACTGAGAAGGCAGTTTCAGGACAGGCTTGGAAGTGGTAGCAGGTGACCTGGATATCATGCCCTTAGCTGAAACAGCAATGTCATCCATGATGCTGCTGAAATTACCAAAGACCCAAGAAGTCTCTTTCCAAGGAAGATAGAGTAAAACAAAAGGTATTTCTTACTTTCTACGAAACATTTCTGCAAATATGCAGCCAACACTCCAGAGATCCACGGGGGTGGCGTAGCTGGACTGAAGCAAGACTTCTGGAGCTCTGTACCACAGTGTGACGACCTGCAACAGCAAATGGGTCAGAATGTTACTAAGGAAGGAGGCTTTGGCTTCAACTCCTCGTCCTGGGTGGTTTAATGCCAAGAATCAGTTCAGAAAGAACTGCTACAATCAAATGGGGACACTGAGATAGAAGCAATAAGTACCTACGACTTATCACTGACAGGCCAGGAAATTGCATCATCCCCACAACCTGGGTCCCCATCTCAGACTTTGTGTGTCTTACTAGGATGGTAAAATAACTGAGCGTCAGAGAGAAAAGACTGAAAAAAAAACAACAACCCCAACTTATCTTCAAACTATTATTTTTTTTTCTTAACGAGGTCAAAAAAACAATACATGGAAAACAAGTGATGGCAATAATTCCAGCTCAATTACCAGGTCAGCATTACTGGGAAATTAGGAGATGATTCGAGTAGCTGGTGGATGGTGACCCTGAAGTTCACAGACTACCCAAGACAAGTCAAAACTATTCCTATCGTGAGATGGTGGGGAATCAAAATAAAGCCCCCTTCAGTGCTGCTCTTTTCAGAAGAAAAAAAAATACTCAGGAGAGAATGTGTAACCCAATTGTTTATACTGTTTGTAAAAAAGTGTCCAGAGGCAGGGATTCCCAAATGGGAAGAGCCCCATTTAATACAGAGAGGTGCATCATAACAGAGGAAACAAACACAACTATAATTATTTCTGCAAGGTTGAGAGGTAAGGAAAACATATCATTAAGGCTTCAGATTTATAAGAATATATAGGGAGTTCAAGTGCTTCTTTTTTTTTTGGTGGGTGTGGGGGGCGATATCCCATGGATGCCTGAAATGAAGGTATATTCTTTATGTCAGATAAGGCATTCAATTCATAAATCTATTACATAAGCATTTTATATTATTCAGATTCCATTTATCTTTGTTTACTATTTTCTTGACATCTATCTAAATGTTCTGAATTCTGTGGTATGTATTTTCATGCTACAATATTCGGAGCATTAAAATTGCAATAGCAATTCCACCAAGAATGGCTGCTTTCAATTTTCTTCTTTCTTTGTATGCATACACTGCTGCTCCTTACATCAAGGAATGGAACTTAATTCACCTTCCACTGAATATGAGTTGGCCTTAATGACTTGCTTGATCAATAGAATATAGTGGAAGTAACATCTGAAACCACCAATACTAGGTCAGAAGAAGCCTGGTAGCTTGGGTCTTTTTGAATGCTTGCTCTTGAGATGCAGTGAGAAGCAGATATTCTGGTTGACAGACCCAGCTGACCTCTCAGTTGAAAGCCATGTGAGTGAGCCATCTTGGACATTCAAGCCCCACTGATTGCCCAGATGACTGTGGCCAGTGTCATTACGGAGCAGAAGAACTGCCCAGCTGAGTACAGTCAACTCACAGAACTGTGGGTGACAATAGAATAATTGTTGTAAGTGTTGGGGTGATTATACAGCAATTATCTAACTGGGGTGATTATACAGCAGAATCTACCTCGAACAAGATGGATTGGCTCCTCCTCTACATCTTATTTAACAGCCTTTGCTTGGAATTCATACAAGGCATCAAGTTTTGTGAAAGTGCTATCTGGTTGATACCTAACAGAGGGATGATGGTGATGTAATAGAAACTAAAGAGAGAAAACAAACAAACCCAGGGTATCAAAACAGTGTTACTCTGTTATCATTTGGCTCTGTATCTTTCCAGTGGCACCTCCCATAGTATTTCCATGTCTCTTACAGCCCAGTCACACAGAAGACCACACACCACTCACTCTCAACCCTGACTCTGCATCAGAATCAAACATGGAGCTGCTAGAAAAACTCAGGTGTCTAGGCCTTATCTTATTTCCACTGAAGTAGATCTCCATGGGTTGGGCACGTGGACTTCTTTTTCTTTTCGAAGTTCTTCAGGTAGCCCTAACCCTTGGCTAGGTTTGAGCACCACTCAATTATACACACTCATCTCCACTCCTGCCTCCATTCTTTTGTTGACACTGTTCTAGAATGGGAAGAACTTCTTTTTCCTTTCCAGATGTGGAAATTCTACATATCCTACAAAGCCCAGCTTCGACTCCGTCACCTCCCTGAACCCACTGACACCTGATAATCATACCATGTAACATAGTACATAACATGGCTCATTCCAGAGGGCACGGACCTGATTTTACCAACCGTTATGTCTGTAGATGATACAGTGCTGTGCACATAACAATTGGGGTTTAACAAATATCAAGTTGATTTTAAGGCAATCATTCCTAGTACGGAACTGAGAAAAATTCAATTACCAGTTATTCCTAAACAAGAAGGTACTTATTATTTTTGCTAAGAAGAGTGCCCAAGTTTGGACTCTAGTTTTTACTTACATAATTTCTTTCTGCTTTACTAATATTTCTACCTGGAGGAACACTTCCCTGCTTCTCTGATACACTAAACAAAAGTGTAGGTTCAAACTGTCCATAAAGTTCCACTTGAGTGGCTTATAGACATACACAGACAGTGTGAGTGTATAAATTTATTTTCTCACCTCAATTTGAAATGAAGTCTAGCATCATATGAGATAAAAAGTTTAATGTCAATGTAGCATTATTTTGAGTTGTTCTAAAAAGACTTTGAGATTCCTGGATTCTCAAGATGGTGCCATGAGAAGGGTGGCAGAATTCTCCTCCCAAAACCATACATATTTTGAAAATATAGCGAATTTCAAATACAGGAATACAACTATTCCTAAAAGAGTGACTAGAAGATACAGTACATGAGCGAGGCTACATCTGTGAGAGCCCAGCATCTCATGGAAAAGGGTAGGATACAAAGCCGTGACCTGGGGGGACCCAAGCACTCTCCCTACCCCAGCTCACCGGTGGGAGGAAGAGAATCAGAGTGGGGAGGGAGTGGAAGCACAGGACTGCTAAATAACCAGCCATGGTGGTCTACCCGGGGAGCACAGACACACATTGCATGGTGCACTAGATATTGGAGGAGCGGAAAAGCAGGGTCCGCTCTTGAGACTGCAAACAGGTTCCCACAGCTGGCTGCCCTGGGACAAAAGAAAAACGGGCTCTTTAAAAGTCTTAAAGGGACAAGGATTTAACAGGTGGACAAAATCATGCTGGCACACTCAGCCCAGCAGGCTGAGAACTCTAAGGAAATTCAGGCACCCTAATCCCCTGGGTGGCAACGCAGCTCCTAAGTCCCTCACAGTGATAAGCAGCTTGCTGTTCCTCCCCGCCCCCCACCAGCACTGCAAGGGAACTGGCTGACCCGCCATTGCTGCAGAACAGCTGGGGAGCAGCCCTGCCTACAGCAACCACATAGCTTAATGCAGAGGTTTCTCCTTGTATGCAGCTAACTGGCCCACACCTAGAGGCTGCTCCCTGTACATGTTGACTGGCAAAGACAGCAGAGACTGATGCAGAGTCTGAGAGGCACAAAGGGCTTTGTTCTCACAGCCGAACACACACCACTTGCCTGCAACCCCTGTCAGTGACTTAGGACATCCTGAGGGCCACCTTGCCCATGGCAGCTCGGGGGATTAATCCAGTGGCTGCTCCCTGCATGCGGTTGACTGACGAGATGGAGATGGGCACAGAGTCTGGAAGGCATGAAGGGGCTCTATTCTCACGACAGAACATGCACTGCTTGCCTGCAACCCCTACAAGTGCCCTAGGCCATTCCAAGGGCTGCCCTGCCCATGGCAGATTAGGGGATTAACCCAGACGCTGCTCCCAGGGCATGGTTGACCCCGCACAGACACCAGAGATGGGTGCAGAGTCCAGGAAGCATGAAGGGTCTCTGTTCTCACAGCAGAACAAAAAACTGCTCACCTGCGGCCCCCCACTAGTGCCCTAGGCCATCCTAAGGGCTGCCCTGTGCACAGCAGCTTAGGGGATTAACCCAGAGGCTGCTCCCTGTGTGTGGCAGACTGGCACAGACAGCAGGGACAGGCAAGGTGACGGGCAAGTAGGAAGGGACCTTGTTCTCCCAGCTGACACATGCGCCACTCACTGGTAACCATTAACATTGCCATGAAAAAGCAGAAGTACCTTGTTCAGTCCAAAATCCCTCAAACACTAGAGAGAGGGCATGGTGAGACTGAAATCACCAATCTTCCTTAAAAAGAATTCAAAATAAAAGTCATAAGAATGCTGATGAGGCTACAGAGAAATATTCAAGAGCTAAGGGATGAATTCAGGAGGGAGATAACAGAAATGAAACAAACAATGGAAGGATTTAAGAGCAGACTGGATGAGGTGGAAGAGACTGTTAATGGAATAGAAATCAGAGAACAGGAATACAGAGAAGCTGAGGCAGAGAGAGATAAGGGGATCTCTAGGAATGAAAGAATATTAAGAAAACTGTGTAGCCAATCCAAATAGAACAATATTTGCATTATAGGGGTACCAGAAGAAGAATAAGAGAGAAAAAGGGATAGAAAGTGTCTTTGAAGAAATAATTGCTGAAAACTTCCCCAATATGGGGAAAGAAATAGTCTCTCAGATCATGGAAAGCCACAGAGCTCCCAACACCAGGGACCCACGAAAGACAACACCAAGACATATAATAATTAAAATGGCAAAGATCAAAGATAAGGACAGAGTATTAAAAACAGCTAGAAGAGAAAAAAGATCACCTACAAAGGAAAACCCATCAGGCTATCATGAGACTTCTCAGCAGAAACCTTACAGGCCAGAGGGAATGGCATGATATATTCAATGCAATGAAACAGAAGGGCCTCAAACCAAGAATAAAGAATACTGTATCCAGCAAGATAATCATTTAAATTTGAAGGAGAGATTAAGTGACTCCCAGATAAGCAAAAGTTGAAGCAATTTATCTTCCACAAACCATCTCTACAATGTATTTTAAAGGGACTGCTGTGGATGGAAGTATGCCTAAGGCTAAATAGTGGCCACCAGAGAAAATTACACCCCAGCAAAGAAAGTAGCCAACCAAATACTAACTAAAGGCAAAATAAAATCAGCTATTCAAAAATCAGTCAAGGGAAACACAAAGAGTACAG